TTGGGGCGCCCTCCGTTTACCCTTGGCAGCGGCCAACTGGCTAGCGGATTCGACTTGGACCATTTGGTTTGTTACACCCTGAAGCTCTGCGACTGCCCCCGCTATCTCCCCATTAAAGAGGGTGGAGGATCTCCAGTCTGCGTAACTGAGGCAGTGGCGTACCCCCTGACTCAGTTCGCCGGCGAAAACACACGCGTCTAAAACCGCGTCTCACTGCACAGTAGTAGCCCAGGCCAAGAGAGCCATATGACACTGGAGGATATCGCACATAGCCGTACGGTGGCCTACCATTAACTGTGTCGCCTGCTCTAGGAGGCGAGTGCGTTCTGCATCTGAGGTCTCAGAGTCCTGGGCACGCACAAGAATGCGCTCCAGTGTGGCGTCCACAAATTCAAGGAAATTGATTGGTCGCAACTTCGCTCTCAGGGCATGTTGGATAGTCTCAGAATGGGTCGATGAGAATGACCATGGAACGCGGCCATCCCCCAGTCCGGGGCTTTCAGCGTTACCTCCTCCACAGCTGACCAACGACCGCCCCTAAACACTGTCTGCGCACCGTCCCCCACGCTCAGCGCTCGGCTGGACCAGGAGAGACGTGCAGATGGGGTCGATTTGGATCCCGGCGCCTGTGATCCCATCAGCGTAGAAGCGATCGTAAGCGGCTGCTTTAGGATCGAGGGTGGGGGAATATACATAGCGTCACCTGGACTGATAATATTCCGCATCACCCTAACGGCGTGGCTCACTGAGTCATTACGCAATGTGGACTCTGAGGGGCTGCCCGAGGTACCCACTGTGTCCGACGCGAGTGAACTGCAATCCCTCAGCCTAAATATGTGGGCGAGAGCATGTTCAAGAGTGCATCTCATGACAGGGTCGGTTCCCTCTGGGAACGCCTGTGGGTAGGCGAGAAGGGAGTCGAAACCCACAGCGGAACTTGGACTTGAGGGTAAATTAACCAGTATGTCCTGACCAACGCCCTGCCCCAAAAACGGAGTCCTGGCTACCAGCGTCCCTGTTGGTGTTACGTGTCTGAGGTTCACGAGGAGACCTGCTGCCACTAGCCTGAGCCTCGGCCTCCCCCGAATCAGCGGGGGTGGGGGTGGGGGTGCTGTCATGGCTGGGAACGCGGGGTTCCCTGGAAGAGACTGTTTAGAATGCAAACGATGCTTTCTGTGTTTCTTCCTACTTGCCGGCTGAGAGGCCGCAGTGGAGACAGCTCGCTCCGCCTGCAGGTGATCTACTCAGCCTGTCAAGGATGCAATTTGCCCTGACAGTCCTTCGACCAATGCCCTCATTTCAGCGGCATAACCGGAACGGTGCGAGGATGGGTCCACAACAGCACCCAGCGCGGGCCCCATAGGAGGAAAGACCTCCAGGGGCACAGCCTCGCTGTTGCCGGTAAAGTTGGGAAACCCACTGCCTGAAAACAGACTGTAGATGCCCTCCGATCAGCGGGGGGAGGCCGACAAAAATCGGCACCCCCACTATCGGGCCCTTTGCTTGGTATCCCGGTATGAGAACTGATAACCGAGCGCGAGGACTTGTCATTCATGTCAACGCACAACTCACTCATACCCATACCGGTAGCACTTGCCGCGCGACCTTTTCGCGAATGAGCGACGCAGTCAGTCTCGGCTATTTTGACATGCTGCCGGAACGATTCCCAGGCTTCCGAACCCCAGTGATTACACAAATTCTCTGGGCAGACACCCGAACCCCGAGCGCACGTGAAACAACGATAACACTTTGAATGCGGGTTCCATTCCTGCAATACCTGCGTACACTGAGTACAAATCCGCCTAAAAAACTGAGGAGACAATACCGGCGATGAGCCTCTGGCGTTGCCAGTGCATCTGTCCATTTCTAAATACATTAAAAATAAAAGACGACATGCATGAGGGAAAAGAATTATAGGTGTAAAAGGTGCCACCATGAAATCAACATGTGACTACGTAGTGGCGCCGGGTTTGATTTCTTTGTTGTGGAAAAGCATAACACACAAAGGGGAAAACGACACGAGGGTAAAAAGACAAGAAAAACTTATCCTACCAGCTAGAATGTCAGATGCCGTGGCTGCGGCGACGACCCACGCTAGAAACCCAGACAGGAAAAAGCAACAAAGCCAGGCAGAGCCGCTCAGAATCATTCCCCGACGAGGTGAAGAGTGATGGACGGCTACCTATGGCGTTGCCATGTGGCCTCGGTCACGTGGGTTCGTGACGTAAGGGTAAAAGAATCTTGAGGTCATGGGGCTTCCCTGACCTAGATTCTATCTCTCCGTCACCGGCAGAAACGCTGATTAATGCCTACAGTTCAAAATAGTCATTTTGACTGACCGGAGTCTATGGTGGGTAAGTGAACGTAGTGAATTTGTACTACTTTGGAATCAAACAGGTACTCAGCTGGTACTACACTAATGTAACCTGGTACTATATATAGACATACACTGTGTAATCAGGCACTGCACAACCAAAAACTGGTAACTACATGTACAAGTAAATTTTTTTCTTAGTGGAATTTGCCAATCTGAGAAAAAAAATTTCTTTTAAATTTAAGCATTTTGAATTCAAATGAAATGAAATCAACATTTCGCGATAACAAATTTGCTTTTTAGGATTACCTATATCCTATATGAATTTTGGGCTCAGAAATACGAAAAATTATTCTAATAACTTAGTGAATAATATTCACATTACAATTCCTCCAATTTGATTAGTCCAGACTTTTTTTATTCCTTATTTCTCAAGGTTTTATAAGTAAATTCTTTTGAAAAAAAATAAAATTAAATCTTTTTTTTCATTAGATTTGTGTGATTCTCAAAGAATGAAATAAAATTGTATTGTCGCCAATTGTGGCACAATTTTCAGCATAATGAGGGATTCCACAAACCACGCCGCCGCCATGCTCGCCTAGTAGTGTCAACCAGCATGCAGAGAGGCCAATACCCAAGATTCACTGTCAGGCGGCGGACGAAAAAAAAATGAAGATAAAAATAATTTTTTTAGCAATTTTTTGCACTCACAAGTCGGTGGGCGCGAGAAATTACGCTGAAATAAAATTTTATCTTTATTTCACTTTCAGCTCCTGTTCATTCAGCGGGTTCGCGAAACAAGGGATAATAAAAGTCTGGCCTTACCCGCATTTAAAATGGCAAATAAAAATGTTTTTCAATAAAATAAAATGTTACAATGGTCTGGTATGTTACACAGGAACTACGCAGTAGTATACATTACTAAACAATGTGAATATAGTTTAAAACACACAGTAATAGAAGACTCTGAAGCAACTAATATGAAAATACTGTGATTGCATGGGGACTTCCTCTAGGCAACTGACACATTGCAAACCATATTTTGACACTGTTGCTGTGTTAAAAATAACCGAGAATTGTATAGGTCTTAAAACCAGCAACATTATATGTACCATGTTCTATTTATGATTCAATGCACCATAAAAACAACAACAATCAATAACAGTGTTTATGTCCTGTACAAAAGTCTCTGTGTCAATTGAAACACAACAGCAATGTTTTATACACTGTTTCAACAGGAAATGAATAAAAGGGTTGTTTAAGCGAATGAAAATGTCATTACATACAGTAAACTGGCGATGTTTCAAGGAAGGATGAATAAATAACATGTCGGGGGGGGGGGGGGGGTTAGATGACTATAACTATAGACAAGTATACTTTATGTTTGGTTACATATAAGATTTTATTAGTCCCTCTTCAGATGCATCATGCAATCCAAAAACAGAGATTTATGGATTGACCTCTATGCATCCATGCGTGCATGACATGTCTAGACTGACTACATTCAAACTTCACACATACATCATAAATAAGAATATACATATGCACATCAATTTGTTTAATGATCTGATTCAAGATGGCTGAATGGCGGCCATTTTTGTAATGAAAAATCATCAAAATCATTTCTCGGTTGTTTACAGATGGATTTTGTTCAAACTCAGTACATACATTGGACATTATGGGACCTTGATGAACATCATTTTGTTTTTAAGTTAAGATTTCATTTAAATGAATGTGGTTCTAGTGGCTATGGTCCAAATTTTTAATATTATTTATACACTACAGTACTCATTTCGCCGAACCTCCCGCCCGCTTCCGGATTTCGATCGCTTTTTTTTCGCTCGCTTTGTTCAATTCGACCGCGCAATTTCCGCTTTTTTTTCGACCGCGCAAATCCGGGAGCATCCGCTCGCGCAATCGCTCGCTCGCTCGCTCGCCTGACAGCGAAACCGCCCGCATTTACAGTTCATTACCTACTGTTTCATGTACAAGTGTATCAATTTTGTTTTTTATGATGTTAAAATAAGAATAAATACAATCAGAAATTTATAGAACGACCGTTGACAAAATACGGTGGATCACACGGCCATAAAAAATTGGTAATAATACATACGCGTAGTAATAATGTCCACCATAAACAAGATCGAACCAAACATGTGAAATCAAATACGACACTGACACAGACACAACTAATATGAAATAAAACCATTCTATTTTTGGTGGAGAGCGAAAAATGTCTACTGTAGATTACGGTATTCGTTGAGTAACCGTGTGTAGGTGATGGTTGTCATGCACGCATGGTTTGGGTTTA